GTACACCCAAGGGCAGAAGGATTTAATCGCCGTCAGGTCCGAAGTCCATACGCCGCCTCAGCTCTGCGGATGTCTCGGGGGTATGGCAAAGTTGAATCGAGTTAACAAAATTTTTTTTAAAATTTTATTCCAAAACATTTTTCGGTTGACGTATGTACGTTCGAATTCCACAGTATCTCGATAAAGAGAATTCTTGCTTTTAACTTCTTTTAAATTGCTCTGCCTTTCCAGATCGCGTGACCTGTAAATGTGCAACCGACTTTTTAGGTCAAAAACTATTGATTAGATAATTGGCCATTCAGTCGATCTTACCGTATTCTCAAAATGATGTCGTGATGATGTCGGGAAGAAAATCTCTCTCAGTGTAGCTTTTAACAGACGCTTCGTTTCACTTCTAAGAAAGGATAGCCCCCATTTCAAGGTTTACAGAGATGTGACGATAGCTTTCATTATTTCGACTTATTTAAAGCTTTGCACCCCATGCATACTTGTCTAAGTGTTTGAAAACCTTAATCTTGCTTGACGTTTTGATTTATAAATCAGGCTGCAAGTATTTGATCATCTCACATTCTCTTTAACTTGTCTTATTGATTCTCTTATCATAGCTAATCCTATTCGTTGCTTCCTGCTTGTACTGATAAGAATCATTATCAAACATCTTGACAAGTAAGAATTGTAAATGATTACGTACTCTATCATGAGTATAGTGCATGTCAGCTAGTGCGTCAGATGGCTTTTTAACGCAGTTTTTCTACATGCGAACAATGAAAATATATTCCTAAGTTGTTAATGGAAAACGCTCTGAGGCCAAAAACAAATGCGTCATAGTTGACGCATTTCAAGCCATGAAAGACAGTTCTTAAATATATCATGATATTCAAACTATTAAAGATTCCATTCCATACAGGAAGCGAAATATAATAACAAAGCTTTCATTGACTTGAATTTTCCTGCACCAAAGGCGCTACTGTGGTCTTGATGTCTGTTGGTATCAATGCATGTACTTCAAACCATCCCACATGGAGAAGAAGCGATAATGGAAGTAAGTACTTGTGATTGAAGAGTACCCCCTTTGAAGAAGGATGCTACTTGTCATGCGCTTGACTTCAACTGATTTTGATTGTATAACACATTAAAAAAACACTACAGAACAGATTGAAGTACTTATTTTTGATCGTCGCAAATGGATAATATATAATGTACAAGATAATCCATGCATGGATATTGTGAACGCCTAAAACAAGATTTCATGGTTCACCTGTCTCATAGCGAAGAAAGGAAGGAAGGAAAGAAGGGAGGAAACACTCGACAAGGTCGTGAGGAAAACTGCATCGATAAGGCATAAAGCATTCAAAAAACCTATAAAACAGTAATATAGTGTCTTACGAGAAAGAAAGGCTTCAAACTAAGAACAGTTCTTAGATTACCAATGATTAATGGTAATGGTAAAGAGATAAATCTTGAAAAACAAGAATAATAGAAAAAATTGACGCAAATACCATATTGACTAATGGTTGTGGATATATGGTTGCTATTGTTTCGGTATATTGCGGGTAGACAGGTTGGTGTATGTGATAGACTTTTATCATCATCAACACACAAACAAAAGCAACCACACTAATAAGCCTAGACCTTGATGGAGTGTTTTCAACGATACTCGAGGACAAATGCCGAAAAAAAGTCCGCGTTTTGTTCAAGATTAATTAGTGGAACCACAGAACACTGGAATAGGAAACATGGAAATTAGCAGTATCATAAACATAAGTCACTGGTAAGACAATGTACAATATGATGTCTAGTCTTTATTGATTTTAAACGATAAAATGACAGAACACTGGTCGAATCGAAAACATGGAAAGTTAACAGTAACATAAACATAAGTCACTGGCAAGACTTATAAATTTTCGTGGTGAGTTGGCCAGCGACACTTAACAAATAAAAAAAAAGAGTCCAAGTCGATCAAAAAATGAATATATAAAATGCCAGAACACTGGAGTCGAAAAAATAATTGAAATACTATAATCAATAGTAGCTGGCACATACAATGAGTAGACTTGAGTAGCAATGAACAGCGATACCTGGTAGAATACAGGCAATATATCCATGAAACAACTACTAGCATATGTAGCTCTTAAAATTATTTAGATTCTATTTATTTAGTTGTAAAATAGCTAGGAATTCACTCAGAAATGAACCAAACAAAGACACGCGTAGAGATATTGACCTGAGCCTTAACTTGGGCGTAATGTTTTCCTATTTCAGACCTCGTGTCATTCTCTAGAGTATCATTTCTTTGTTTAACGGTTGCACACGAGAAGACTCTTCACATGAATATGGATACGAATCAAACAAATAATCTTATTCTTAAGGTAATGAGTCGTGATCTGAAATGTGAAAACATCACGCCCGAGCCGAGGAGTTCTATTTGATTTCATTTCCCAATGTTCGACTCCATTGATAACCCACTATTTTACACAAAATAGCTGCAAAATAGCTGCAAGTAGACAATTCGTTTGGTTTCGTTTCACGGGTATATGTCGTCCACTCTAGTTAGGTGTAACGCAGGTATCCAGAGGGGATAATATCTGCAGTATGTGGGAACTAAGTTATGCAAATGAGAACAAATGAAGATATTTCTACGAGAGGAAGAAAAAATAATTATAACATAACTGTTATAAATCTCGCATTCTTATTGGTTGGAAGCGCGTGCTTTACGAGAGCACACAGCACACAGTACGCATGCGCCCTTTTATTTTATAAAAGAAATAAAAAACTTGCTTGCTGTGCTGTGTGGAGTTATAAAGCACTTGGGGATTGGCAGAACACTCGTGAAGTGTCGAGAAGCACTCCGTTACGCGTGTTGCCCGCTCAGTCAACCATTTGTTTGCCCCCTCCCCTCCCCCCAGTCAACTCCAAAAAGACATGTGATTGATAGAAAGCAATTTAAAGGCTTTCGTTTAGACTCATGACTTTAAAAGTATTATCTTGGTGTTACATGCTGTATTAACGTTACCTGATGAGTGTGTAGGTGGATGTTTAGATAATGGTTATGATAGAATTAGAAAGGGAAAGCTATGGAAATACTATGGAAATAGAAATAGGTGTGCCGGAAAACTAGGACTTCAATCGGATTCATACATACATATGAATAGTATTGCTAATTACAAATATAGTTGCCCAAATCTATATTATCATTTTCCAGTTCGCCTCTTATGCCTTTTGCGTTTCCTATCCTTTCCTTTCCTTTCCTTCTCTTTTCTTCCCTTTTTATTTTATTTTTTCCAAGTTTCTTTTTCATTTCTTTTCTTTCTTTTTGTCACTTTCTTCCTTAAATCTTTCTCTTTTCCATTGTGCATTTTTCTCTTTCTCTTCCCTCGCTCCTTTCATACCACAATCTGTTTCTTTCTCTTTGAGACAGCACTGAAAAGAAACACGTCAGTTTGCTCGTTTCTCTGAATCTAGAACAAATAGCCAAGGGTTTAATTTCCAGTGGGTACAAATAAATGAATGTTAATAAATTTTAATGATCACCACTTACATCATACAACAGCTGGTTCTCAGTGGAGCAAGATAACTTGTGTGCGCGCGTGTATGCCTTTTCTTTCTAAATGTGTCTTCGCTGATTACTGAACCAAAAAGCGTCGTATATTATGAATAGTAAATATCATAAACTTGAAGGTTTAAGTACATATTACTCTGCTGTATAAACCTTGATAATTTTACAAGCAGATGCTCGGATATCAAGACAGTTATATGATCAATGCAATGCTTCATTCATTATTGATCATTAGTTAAATTATACATATCAACCGGGGCTCTTAACCGTCCATATCGAGGCCCCTTGAAGTGAGGGGATTATTTAACTATGAATCAACTCGTAATGAGTTCAAAATCTAATATGGAGAGACAGATGGAGACAGAAACAGTGACAGACAAAGACAGAAAAATGGCAAAGAGAGATAAAATTTCGAAAGAAACTGTAAGAGAAAGAAAAGTGTTTTGGTTTGGTTTCCTTTTCAGTTTTGGGATTGTTGGGCATAATGATTCCACTATACACTTTTACGAGAAAGAAAAAATCTTAAATAATAAATGAGAGAAACAGTTCTGTGTTAGTTCATCTGGGTGTGCATAATGTTTTCATATACTTTTCCAAGAGAGAAGACTAAATCTTAATAAACCCACACATTGTCTCAGGAAAAATGCACTCAAACCAGAAAGAGCATTCCGCAAAAGGGCAAGAAAGGTTCTCATCAAATACAGTAAGATTTTTTTAGGATATCAACATTTTGTTTTAAAACTATCTTTTTAAAAGTTATCATTAAAGAGCGTCATAATATCGTTATAAGATGTAGAAATAGCATGGAATACTTACATTAGTATGTGTTTCTCGTGCAATCCAGCAAGCGGGCCTTATTTTCGAGCTTCTTCATCGATCTATTTCATCTCCTGCTGAATGAAAAACAGATCAGTCGAGGAGAAACGACTAATGGAGGAAGAACGAAAGCAAACATCCTCTGGTCGTGTCACACACAGTGGGGCGGTTTGATTGTGGGGAACTCGTTATAAACGGTGACCAACGAAGAACCAGGTGTCGTTATGTCATAACATTCAGTCTCCCGCTGATTACAAACAATACCGCAAATCTTTCTAGTCTCTTATTTAATATTTTTGTTTCTTGATGGTAGAAAATGTTATGCATTATAAATTATTCAGACTAAACTGTCTTGAAGATGATTATTAGGACATTAGTGAAAATAAAACTTGAGGGATGAAGGGGAAAGAATAATAGGATGGAGATTGTGCATGTAGATATATCATTCAAGAGATGGTATTTTTCCTAAGTGTGCATGTATCTGCGCATGAAGTTTGTAAGCGTTGTGAAAGAGTATATTTTACAATTAAATATCACTTAGTATTAATGAATCAATATAGCTTTAATATGAATTTCATGCAACAAGATCATGTTTGAAGGTTCGAATTTCTATTATCTAACTGATTAAATGAATCAAATGAAAAATGTTTAAAAGGAGAGAAAAAATATCGAGGCTTTCGAAAATATAAATGACATATTGGTGTAATAATGTTATTTGCCAAAGTTTTGGGCTCTTAAAATCCACAATGAAAGCAAACGGCGAACAATGGCCTATATAATATCGTTTGCCCTCTTAGGACTCTTACCAGACTAAACATTTATGAAATAAAACGACTATAAAAAATACTATTACAAAAACAATCAAGAGTTTTCCGTAAATTTTAAATTATCGGCATGAAAAAAATTGATAAATTTAATTGTCGAAAAATCAAATAAATGTTTTAACAACAACAAGTCAGGAAAACAACTATCAAGAATTTTTGATATTTTTAAAATATATATTATTTTAAAGAAGTGAATAAAGAGAAAGGAATTTTGGGCAAAAACGATATTTTAAACAAAAAGTTAGAAAAATTGCTATTGAAATCAGGACTGATTTTTTTTTTTTGTTTTTTTTTTTGTGAAAAAATGAAATGAATGCTCTGTAATAGTAAGATAAAATAAAAGCTAGGAATTTAAAACAAATTTAAAAAATTTTAAAAAACAAAAAATGTTTTGAAAAGGCCTGAACCAAAATATTTGATATTAAATATTTCGCATTCAAGCGGTGAGCGCCAAGAACTATTTTCTTGAAGAAAGGCTGTTGTACAAGGCTAAAATCTCGGTATTCAAAAAGTTTAACTTGTTTGGAAGTAGAATCAAATCGTTAACCCAAAGCAAAAATTTGAATCGAAAATGAGGCGGTTAGGCCTTCATTTGCTTATTTCTCATACATTTTCTATACAAAAAGCCTGACAAAGCAACATTCTAACACAAATGCAACAAAACATCTTTGTACAATTGAAAATACCGCTTCAAACAAGCATTTCATCAAAGTACATCAGTTTCTAGCTGTTAAAAAAGGTTTTGAGTGTTAACCCAAAACGAAAATTGTAATTAAAACTCATACGAAGGTTTAGTTTTTGGCGCTTTTTGCCATTATTGCTCGTTATTGAATTTCCTCTTGATAGACTAAAATAATAGAATAGCGAACAAGATCAAAATATTATTGATAAAGTAAGCTTATATGATTTGAATGCAGGTCTAAATTATGTTAGCGATCATAGTTCTTTTACGAAGGAAAATTCGCAAATCGAGTTATCAAATAGAAAATGATTCATGGATTATTAACATATATATGAAGAGTCGTAAATGTTATAACATACTAGCCGATGAAGATAAGTTATCAGTAATAGCTTTGTATATGAAGATCGGTGAGGCTGATCGGTAGCATTGATAGCAAAGGATGTTGAACTATTAATTCCCTCATTACTCCATTAATTATCTGGCTGATTTATTACTTTTATATTATTGTTTATATATATCTATTATTTATCTTATCAGATTGATGTTTTTATCACTACATCATCTTCACAATCATCATCACCATCATCGGGATCATTTTATTATCATCATCACCACCATCTTCACCCTCACCCTCATCATCACCATCATCATCACCATCATCGGGAACATCATTTTATTATCATCATCACCACCATCTTCACCCTCAACCTCACCCTCACCCTCACCCTCACCCTCACCCTCACCCTCACCATCACCATCACCATCACCATCACCACCACCATCACCATCACCACCACCATCACCATCACCATCACCATCAATTTCCACTCTGGAGACCGTTTTCGAAAATTTCCGGATAAAGGTACGAACACTTCCGGACACGTGTTCATGCAACCTGTATCCGAAAAAAAAATTGCGGATACGTGTGGACGGCGGGGCCTTAGCTTCGTTTATTATTCAGCTATTCAACGATACCATTAAAAGTCCGTGGGATTTCAAAACTTTGGTATTGTTTAAGTTGCGCATTTTTGTGAATAATTTGCTCTTAAGCGAAGCTAAGCCTGTGCAGATGAGTCTTAAGTCATAAAAAACAGCGTAATATTGCCGAATCCGAAAAGGGACTAAAGAAACAAGTTTAAACCACATTCCTTCTTTAGCTTACTGCCTAGAGATCTTCGAAGAAAGACTAGAATCAAACTTGTGGTTTACAAACGTTATTTTTAAGTGAATGGTCAAAGATTAAATATTTTTCTAAGAGTCTGGTTAGACAACCTTTTATGTTCCTGCTGTATTGTGGTCCAGATCACGTCCAACGTGAAGGCGAACGCAATCTATTTATTCATTGGGGTGAAATTAGAAAATACTCGAATCTTATACACGTCAAGGCTGTTTACGACTGCTGCAAGTCATCTGAAATATTTATCTAAAATGAAAAGCATATTTGGCAATAAAAAAGAACAGCTAGCTGTTCCTTTTAGCATTAAAATATTTAGTTAGTCTATTTCTTGCATTGTGTGCAGATTATGAACAAAAAGCTAAGTGCGAAAGGTAATGTTGGTAAAAACGTCCAGTCCTTCGTCATCTGTTTCACGCGGTCAAAAAAATTTCCTTAAAAAATTTGAAATTATTCAGCAGTTTTACTAGACTGCATGTCGACAAAAACGTGAATAAGCCGTCTAGTACAATTAAATTTGGAAATTGTATCCATATCCATCTCCATCTCCATCATTCTCCATCTCCATCATTCTCCATCTCCATCATTCTCCATCTCCATCATTCTCCATCTCCATCATTCTCCATCTCCATCATTCTCCATCTCCGTCTCCGTCCCTATCTCCGTCTCCGTCTCCGTCTCCGTCTCC